TATTCTGCGCTTCTGATTTTTGCTTTTGATTCCAGTCCCTGATTCTCGACTTCAGCTCCTTGGCCTTGATGTCGGTTACCTAAAAATCGAATAAACGTGATGTTTTCTACAACAAATTTGTCCTTTCTAACCTTGTCTATTTTCCTCGTTCTCCAAAATTCCTTAATTTTCGTCATCATCTCTTTGTCGTATTCTGATTTTTCTAGAACAGGGGCAAGAAACTACGATAAAATAATCTACCGGTAACTGATTGGTTTTGCCAGTTGATCTCACCCAGTACGGGTTCCCCATCCTTTACAATGATTTTCAACCGTGCCAGCATGATTTCCAACAGTACACGAAGCTCGGAAAATTTTACCATCATGATACCTAAAAATCTGACTTTTTCAAACCTAAGATACTACGAAACCTGTAAAACAATCAGGCTTCCCAGTTTTCGAGCTTTGCAAAGCCCTAAAAAGACATTTTTTAGATAGTTCGATCAGGGATGGATCCTGTAAATCGTTGCAGAGCTAAAACTACCAACCTCTCCCTCCAGCCGCGCGGGCGCTTCATAAAATAGGTAATCGATATACAACGCTAAAAACAGTTTCCAAAGTTATCGATTTCTGACCCATAGCCACGATATGAACCGGCTCAAACTGATGCCCAATAAGTAGCGGAACATCAGCATCTTCGCGCAGAGATTCTGGGCTCCACAACACGAGCAGTGCACCAATATGGTCCCCATTTCCCATCACGAAAAATGGGTAATCCGGGATTCGTTTGCTGTATTTTTCGGTCGATTCTAGCAGCTCTTCTATGAGGAGTTGTAGCACGATCTGCTTCTCGTGTAACCTCCAATACATAAGGTATCGGAATGCGCGCTCGTAGAAGGTGTGGCTGTCGATGAAGTCTTGTTGTTCCCGGGTTGGGGCTGGGGCGTCGTCTGGTGGACCATCATCCTGTAATAAAACCTTTTAATGTCAGTTCATGCCAGTTACCTCCCAAGGACATGTCCACACCCACGACGCCCCAACGGCTGGCGGACGATTAGGGTGGAAGATGTACTTCAGGGGTAGTCGCTCCAAAGCATCCAAACGGACTGGCGGCATCTTGCTTGCTAGTCACAAATTATTTCCAGAATGGAACTCGTGGTATATTTTTCATGTCATTTGTCTACAGATACAAAAGAGTCAGCTACGAAAGAAGAAACGATAAATGTCAAACAAGAAGGAAATTCAACAGGGTAGTCGATTTTCCAAAACATACCCAGATCTGTGCCGCCCGCCCAACTGAAAACTCGTATGGTTTGCGATGGGAAAATTCCCCACTTACCTGGACATCACGTTTTCGTGCGAGTGCTGTGCTCGATTTTCGGCCATGCGTCGAAGCGACGCATCGGCGCGTACACGCTCATCCAGGAGTGTCTCAGCATTTCATCTTCGGTCCCATATCGTCGAGCCGGTGCCATAAATCATTTTGGGAGGTGTGCCTACTGACGGTTCCCCAGTGTAAGATGTTTAGCAAATTCTTCAAGCACATACACGGGTCGCTGCTTCACCTTCAAAAATCTGTACGCATTTCCCACACAGTGTCCAGCCACTGCATCCACGAATGGTTCATCCTGCATGGTGTCAGAATTTTCGAGCAGGTAGCCCGTCCCGCGTTGCGCGGTTTGCAACCCGAATTTCGCCGTTCCTTCCACGTTCTTGAGGGCGATATGCGTCAACCATTGCCAATCACGACTCCAACCCTGGCAGCATGCTTCCGGGTGGTTCGCTGTCATGGCGTACAACGCGGAGTTCCATGCACAATCGAACAGCACCGCGTCCAGCTTTCAGAAGAGTTGGAAAAACGTTTCGTGCAGAAAGAGTGTTTTTCTTCGTTGGGTCAACGTTTTCGATAGCTGCACTTGCTCGTGAAGATTGGTGATGCTCAAGGCAGTTCGCAGGCGGCGGCCCGGAGCGGTAGACGCTCGAGTAGGGGCTTTTTTTTCACTTTCTTGCTGGTTACAACGGGAAAGGCATTACCTTTGTACCAATCGCCATCGCTTTCCGAATGCCGTTAATTTTGCAGAGCTGGACAGACCTGAGCCCCAAAATGGTTTCCGAAAGGTCCGACGGGCAGTACGTCGCCATCTCCAGGGTTTGACGATCGTGTTATCCAAACCTCGTTACTGTTATCCCGCTGTGCATCATAGCGCTCATCTGCCAGCCTTGATCGCTCCTAGAGGATACAGGTTACGTAAGAAGCATTCTAATCTACCACGACGTGTATTCCCAGGAAATCGGAATGCCAGGATGAAGTCGCTTTAGTTGGTCTCCAAATCCAACGTCTTCATCCACCGCTGGAGCTTTGGATATTTTGGGGAGGTCTGGGTAGCTGGCGGATTTGTTGCGATCGGCTGGTCGGGTCCCCGTAGAGACGCCCCAAATGGAGCCGGCAGGTTGGTTGACTGGTTCCCTCCGTCGCTCTTGCTCAGTCCACTGGGCCTCAACAAGATGCCATTACCATTGGCTTCCAGATAGCATCGTCAACGTCACATTTGTGAAATGTTCCGATGTTCGATGTCGAAAATGTACTGATTACAAAAGAAAAAATTTTAAGCCTAAAAATTTGAAATGAATAGCTATCGTCGAAACCGATAGGGTAAAAAATGGTCCCCTATTAACAGAGAAGAACCGAAAAAGCTAGCTTTTGTAAAGACAAACCAGTCTCGGATAAAAATCCAGCATTTCGGTTAAGCCGAGGAGCGGTTTTTAAATTCTTCTTCGCATGACCTGCCTAACCTTAATGCGGAGGATTTCAAATTTCACTTTTGGACAAGATCTCGTAAGTTTTTCCCTATATCACTCGACTTTTCTGCAAACCCAGGATCAGAGTATCAGACGCAATCAAGGCCTAGAAAGATTATTTTTGACTAATCCCGCCCACCGTCGTGTTTCTCATAGTCTCCCACATCACAAGGTCTATTCCTAAAACATCACATTTACAGGCGTGCTTAATATTGTATCTTGAAATGAAACCGATTGAAAACCTCTTCCGGAATCTCTTCAAGTTTAAGATCTGGGGCTATTATGTATTGTTGTGAAACCGGTGAATAGCTGCCCTACATCGTTTCTAAAACGCATCACACCAAAATCCCCACTTTGGGGAATGTAGTCTTCCGTTAGGAAAATACTAGATGCCAGGTTAGCTGTCCTGGTATCCTAAGGAAAAATTACTTTTCTGGCTTAATGTCAGGACCAACATGCTATTTTTCGCAATGTATCCAAACCATCATACAGCCCTCGAGCCCAGTAGATTATTGTTCCGACATATACACGAGAGTTCAGCATTGGTAATTACTAAATTCTGTCCTTGATTTAAAGAAATCTTGCTACAGTATTTAAATTGGTATGTACGTAAAAAGAACGTGAGTGTTCGATCAATTTGTGTTTTTTTCCGTCTATAACCACCTGTAAATAATATATTGTATATTTTTACAATGTTTTTCGTAGTTTTGATGGGCAGAAAGTTCACAAAAAATTTTAAACATTTTTGAAGGCACGAAATGTTGAAAATTTTGTTATATTTCGATTTTTATGCAATTGTAAAAATACACGATGACTAGGAAATTCTCTTACCAATAGTCATACTAAATAGCCTGCCTGTAATGGAGCGACCCAAGCTCTGCTGAGACCCATGAACATCAAAAGTTCCTCAGTGTTTCATTGCCTTTACATTCGTCCGGGCGTTCATGGAATCGCACAATATTAGGGTGCATCAGCTTTTTCAGGGCGTTTAGCTCCTTCTCGTGCTCGGCCGCCGTTCCTTTCAGCTTTTTGACCGCTAACAGTCTAGAAAAACCAATATGTTTATCAAAAACACCACAAATTTTCTACGATTCTTCGCTTTGCCGAAAAACCTTACTTTGTGAAGCGTTCCTCAACGTGGACGACGCCAAAATTTCCACGACTACCGAGAGCGCCAACTTGTTGCTTCATGATTAGTACTTATGAAAATACTTGAAATAGCTTTCTACGAATCTAGCCGTTTAAATATTTAGCTGGCTGTAGCGGATATTCTGGCAGCTTTGTTGTTTTGTTATGGCAGCTCTGTCGCAAGAAAACGCCAGAATCGATTTATTCCCCGTCCTATCAGCCCCGGGCCCTGAAAATGGAGAAGAAAGCAAGAAAGGTTTTATGTAGGATCTCATTATAACGTTATCTGCTATATTTTGAAGTAATTTTCTTATTTCGGATTTTTGTCTTGTTTCGGACCTCTCATTAGTGTGCGAACGAGTGTTCCAATACGCTCCGCTTGAGAACGCGCGCTATGGATCCAATTACGCCACCTATCTTGCCTCGC